TTTCCCTCTATTTTCTTAGGTTTTTGGCACCTTTAACTGCTTTATATAAGAGAAATTTGCTAGATATCCATTCATTCCATTTCATAACAGCAAGCATTTGATTTAAAGAGTGCACAACAATGGCTAACCGAAGAGAAGAAGCAAGGTTTGAAGCATCATTTGAAGGAGAGGACAACCAAGTCGTGGCTATGCTGGTTAAACATGTGGTATCTCTGGAGGAGCAGCTGCGTGACGTTCTATACAGGGAGAAAAAGATTTGGATTGTGCTGGTTTTGTCATGGGTTTATTTTTCTATGTTTTTGGCAAGAGAAAAAGCTTTGGGATGTTGAGTAATGGAGTCTATGTAGTTTGGGATGTTTATTTTGTGGTTAAAGGAATTGTAAGTTGGGGTCTGTGCTTTGTATTTTGTGGTGGAAGGCCATTGTAAGTTGATGTAGGTGGATGTATTTAGGGCTTAACAGTGGCTATATTTAGGGTATGACAACGGTTGTTCGAAGTACATCCTATAATAATGAATGAAATCTATTTATATTTGAAAATGTGATGTGAAGCCTTGCAACTAATTAGGTGTTTGTTATAAATGGAGGTAAAAAAAGAAGAATGCAATGATCCCAACAAGGCAAATTCAATTATCCCAAAGTCAATGATCCTAAATGCTTAAAAACTTGAACAACATGAACAATATCAAATGCTTGGTTTCCCAAATGCTTAAAACAGAACAATATCAACCTGAACAATATCCATTCCCAATAGTTTGACTGATTCATGAACAACATAAGTTCTTATACAAAATGCCATCTTAAGAACATTAGTTCACATCAAAAGCTCCCATATTTTCCCTCTATTTTCTTAGGTTTTTGGCACCTTTAACTGCTTTATATAAGAGAAATTTGCTAGATATCCATTCATTCCATTTCATAACAGCAAGCATTTGATTTAAAGAGTGCACAACAATGGCTAACCGAAGAGAAGAAGCAAGGTTTGAAGCATCATTTGAAGGAGAGGACAACCAAGTCGTGGCTATGCTGGTTAAACATGTGGTATCTCTGGAGGAGCAGCTGCGTGACGTTCTATACAGGGAGAAAAAGATTTGGATTGTGCTGGTTTTGTCATGGGTTTATTTTTCTATGTTTTTGGCAAGAGAAAAAGCTTTGGGATGTTGAGTAATGGAGTCTATGTAGTTTGGGATGTTTATTTTGTGGTTAAAGGAATTGTAAGTTGGGGTCTGTGCTTTGTATTTTGTGGTGGAAGGCCATTGTAGGTTGATGTAGGTGGATGTATTTAGGGCTTAACAATGGCTATATTTAGGGTATGACAACGGTTGTTCGAAGTACATCCTATAATAATGAATGAAATCTATTTAGATTTGAAAATGTGATGTGAAGCCTTGCAACTAATTAGGTGTTTGTTATAAATGGAGGTAAAAAAAGAAGAATGCAATGATCCCAACAAGGCAAATTCAATTATCCCAAATTCAATGATCCTAAATGCTTAAAAACTTGAACAACATGAACAATATCAAATGCTTGGTTTCCCAAATGCTTAAAACAGAACAATATCAACCTGAACAATATCCATTCCCAATAGTTTGACTGATTCATGAACAACATAAGTTCTTATACAAAATGCCATCTTAAGAACATTAGTTCACATCAAAAGCTCCCATATAAAGTCACTGCAAAAACTGTCATCCTAAACCATTTTTTCTTCCAATTTCCTATAATAAAAAACTATCATCCAAATTCACATCAAAAGCTATCAGTTTCAATTAGTTCTCCAACATAAAAAACTATCTAAACTAATGCATATGTTAACTACCATCCAAATTCACATAAAAAGCTAACATCCTAAACCCTTTCTTCTTCTAATTTCCTATCAAATTCTCCATGGTCATCCCTTTTTAATTGGAGACTTCAGTCTTATTTTTTGGAGTGGTGGTGCTAAGACTTGTTGTGATGAAGAAGGCTGTGAAGTTGGAAACTGCTGTTGTGATGAAAAAGGCTGTGAACTTGGAGTTGAACGTGGAAGTTGTGAATTAACCATTGCAGAGCTGAACTTCGAGGTTGTGAATTCACTCTTGAAGTTGAACTTGCTTGCCTCATCTTTCCTCCTATTGTAACCTAATTAGATAATGAAAAACCGTATAAAAAATTGACATAATATAATACTAACCCTAATATTGAAAAAAAAAACTACAAATTACAAAAAGTAACATTTAACTTTGGTATCCTTTGCCTAACTTGAGCACTTTGAGGCTGCAAACCAAATCACAAGATTAGTATTGAATTAAGTACATCACCTTTTTAATAACTTGAGCGCTTTGAGGCTACAAACCAAACCGAATTAATACCTATTTTTTTTTAGGATGTCCCACATGTTTTCTTGTTGTGGCCCTCTTGGACACATTTAGTGCATTTGAACTTGTCATAAATCCACCTCCTCAGTTTTTTTCCTAATGTGGAAGCTGGTGGCTCTCCTTGCTCTCTAATCCGCTTCTGTCTTGGCCTCCCAACTTGCTTCTTAAACACAGGAGGTAGCAAAGGGTGAGGACCATAGGTTATCCACTGATCCATGCTAGGCATTGGTGATATAATAGGATTATAACACTTGAGATAAGCATCCCTCTTGTAGTAGTTATGTACATAGTCATAAGGGTCCTGCTTTCTTCTAAAAATGCAACAAATTGCATGAGGACATGGGATTCCACAAAATTGCCATCTCCCATAAGAACATGATTTTGTTCCTAGATCCACAGCATATTGTCCTCCATACATGTTTGTCACTTCATACTTCATATCCCCAGATAATATTGGATTGCAATACCCAGCCTCAAGCTTGTTTTTCTCAACAATTTTCTCAATCCTTGGACCAATTGACCTTTTCCACTTCCAAGCAGCAACCCTCCTATTTGCCATCCTCACCATGAGATTAGTCCTTATAGCCTCAAGCATTCCAAGAATTGGTTTACCCCTTGCCTTCAAGATGGAAGCATTGAAAGCTTCACACAAGTTGTTACACTTATAATGTTGTTTGAAGTGTGATCGACTCCAATATTCAGCTGGTTTTGGATGGAGCCACTTCCAAGCTTCCTCACTTTCTATTTTCAGCCTTTCCATATGACATTGCCACCAAGGTTTAGTTGTTTCCCTAGCTGCATCCCACATAATTTGCTTCAAAGTCAAGCCAAAATGTGAAGCCTTAAAGTTGTTGTTGAAGTGCCTCACACAATGTCTATGTTCGGCATTAGGAATCAAATCAGCAAGGGCAAGTCCTATCCTCTCTTTTTTTGTCTGATATGAAAGCATAAGCATGCCCATTTTCAATGCCTAAATCTACTATCAAATTTTGGATGAACCATTCCTACGTATCTTTGTTTTCTATCTCCACAACAGCATAAGTTATAGGGAACATTCCATTATTCCCATCAATCCCAACAACAGCCAATAACGGGCCTACATCCCTCTTTAAAAACTCTCCTGCATGCTTCCAAACATATGTACAACCTGTGAAATCGTTTGTTCTTATCATCTATTTCAGTTTTAAGCAAGACTGTGCTTCCTGGATTACCCTTCAACTCCTCACAGTAGTCATGCAATTTGTGGAATTGGTCTACAAAATTCCCTTTGTTTAATTTTGTTGCTTTTTGCCTAGCTCTATAAATTTGTTGTTCGGAAGGTTCCACTCCAAAATCCCTTTTAACTGCAACTGTGAAGCCTTTAATAGACCAATCCGAATATGCCCTTAGCTCATAGGCATACCCCTAAGCCAAAAATTTAGAATTAAGCCAAAATATCTTTTGATACACTGAACATTCATGCATATATTACAAAGGGGCAACCTTCCTCACAAACAACCTTCACTCTTCTCTTATCATTCTTAACAAACCAGACTTTTCTTCTTAACTTGCAAGTGTAGTGCATCATAGCCTCTTTGAATTGAGCTTTATTGGGAAAGTGCATCCCAATATCAAATGTGGGATCCTTCAGCATAGACTCTCTTCTCCATTGTCGAAAGTTAGGAACATGCCTCCTCTTGCTTGTCACTACATCATCTTCCTTAGAATCTTCACACCCATTTTTGCTATGAAGATCCTTAGAGTTTTGAACCTCGTCTGAGATCTCTCCAGCATAACCCATCTCTTTAGGTTCATCTTCAACTGGATTATCCACATGTTCTTCAAAGACTGCATCATCAATATCAACGTCTTCAGTCTCTTCTATTTGCTCATAGTCACTGTCTATGAAATCTGGATCAAGTGGATCATCTTCATATGTTTCATCCTCACTTTGTTGCCCTTCATTCCCATGAAATTCCCCTCCTTGCCCTTCCTTTTGTACCTTAGAAGCCCATTTTTTCCCTTCTCCATACTTCTCAATAAGTAGTTCCCCTTCTTGCTGGTCAAGAGTACCATGATTCCAATCAGTAAAAACATCATCCCAATTCAAAGATTAGGCCACATGAACCTCCTGATCCAATGATACTTCATTGTCCCATATGTTATTTGACAGATTTTCCACATTTACTCCTTGCTCTATAACAACATAGAGAGACAATTTTTTCCTCATGTATGGCAGCAACCATGTTCAACACATGTTCATCATTGAGTAGTGCATTAAAATCCCCATTCTCTATCATGTAAAAAAAACCTATGTCATCCCCTGTATGTCCTGCTAGTTTGGTAATCCTCACAAGTTCAATCCATGACATATTTATCTTTGCTAACTACTTTCCTAAATTTGCCTCCATGGTGAATCTCAATAGTAAGTATGTTAGGATTTGTCAACAAAATAATATTCAATAAGCTTTTGTTTTTGCTTAATTTACTATGCATATAGTTATAACAGACCTAACAATAAACTATTTACTTCTATAATAAATACACATGTACACAAGCTATTGACTTCTACACATACGGACAAACAACAACACATGCAGTAAACTTCCAAGATACAAATGCAAGAAAACAACAAAGGCTCCTACCAATTATTAAACAAACAATTTCAGCATTTGAATATGATACAAACTCTGCAAAAAGTTAGACAAACATGAACCACACACGTGCAAAAAGCCAGACAAACAAGCATAAAGAAAACCCAATGTCACTATCAAAATATGAACTCAAGTGCCACACATGTGTAGACAACAACTTTTATTGAAACCGACACTTTTAAAAAGCCAAAGTAGATACCTATATATTTGGGTTGCATTCCCCCTTTCTAAAACACTTCTTCAGGGTTCTCCTTCATCACTATTCAGAGATTCTGATTTCTGTTGTGATTTTGACTTCATGAAAGAAAGCATATCAACTTTTCATACAAATCCCCATAAACCTCCAATTTTTCTTCTCCCTTGCAACCCTAAATCGAGAGGGACCTTTGGCTGTAGAGAGAGAGAAAGCAATGGAAATGGAGGGAAATGGATTGTGAAGGGTGGGTTAGGTCGAACGGGGAGTGTTTTGATGATTTTAACCCTGCTTGTGACTGGATTTGACGACCTTTATGAACGGAATGTGACGGCAGGACCATTTTGAGGGGTGTGATGTAACATAAGGGACCAATAATGTCAACAAAAAAAAACATAAAGGACCAAAGGTTATAATTTGGCAAACCTCAGGGACCATTTGTGATAAAAAAAGTTTTTTTTCTTTTCCTTTTTTTGCAATGACGAACACAAAATGAATAACATACACAAACAACAAAAGGGAATGTCTAGACTAGGCAAATAGAGATTCATGCAATCAATACAATACAAATATATGATGATCCTTGAAGCCTATATATATGAGAGACCAACAAAGAAAATCTACATTCCAAAAACACAATGCCTGCAAGAAGAGTATTTCATTGAAGAAACCATTATAGTGTAACTTACATGATAAGGCTCATTACTACAATATAATCCTACAATTACATTTTGTAAAATAATCAATTACATCCTTGAGGTAAACCACTTTAGATTTTTCCAAGAAAAAGCTTGGAGCTTACCTACACATAAGAAGATTGAAAAAGATAACCCAATCTAATTAAAAAGAAACGGCAAGTTGGGTGGCTATAATATATAGGCGTCTATATATATATATATAATATAATATAATTATATTTTAATACAAAGAGCTACCTGGGCTATAGCCCAGTGTAGCCCTGTACTTAGTTCGCCGCTGGGCGATACATAAATTTTAGTACATGTATGCATTTATCTAGGATTCATGTATCATATAGCTATATATTTATGGCTTGTACCCTTAACCGATCATTCCAACTTTCAATCATACTCTATCATAAAAAGAGTGGATTCAAGGTAATTTCCAACTAGAAAATGAATATTTTCTACTCAATTTATACATGGTTTTAAGTAAGGTATTAGTGCTTATCTGCCTGTGATTTCTTGAGGGGTTCATGAATGCTTACTTTTACTATCTTTTGATTTTGATGGTGGTTTTGCGTAAGGTACTTTGGAAAATGTTGTCATTTTTTGGTTATAATTTTATGAGTTTTCGAGGCTTTATATGAGTTATAAATTGATTTATGATTAGAGATGCATTGTTTATGCTGGTATACACTCATGAGTTGGGTTGAGAAAGGATTAGGAAAACTTTGCTTTTGAGTTGGTGAGATGGCTTGTTTAGCCTGGCTTTGTTTGAGATTGGTTCGTGTAAGACTTTTGAAATGAGGCCCTATCAATTAGTATTACACAGAAGAAATCAATTATAGACGCTAATATAATTAGATCTGCTCTTCATAGACAAACTTGGGATTTGCGATCCCAAGTAAGATCGGTTCAGGATCATGGGATCCTTTTCTATCAGATAAGAAGGGTTGTTGCACAAAATGTACTTCTAAGTAATTGCTCCATAGATCCTATATCTATCTATATGAAGAAGAAATCATGTAACGAAGGGGATTCTTATTTGTAAAAATGGTACTTCGAACTTGGAATGAGCATGAAGAAATTAACGATACTTCTTTATCTTCTGAGTTGTTCTGCTGGATCGGTCGCTCAAGACCTTTGGTCTCCACCTCGACTCGATGAAAAAAATGGGATCACTTCTTATGGACTCGTTGAGAATGATTCTGATCTAGTTCATGGCCTATTAGAAGTAGAAGGCGCTCCAGTGGGATCCTCACGGACAGAAAAAGATTGCAGTCAGTTTGATAATGATCGAGTGACATTGCTTCTTCTGCCCGAACCAAGGAATCCTTTAGATATGATGCAAAATGGATCTTGTTCTATCGTTGATCAGAGATTTCTCTATGAACAATACGAATCGGAGTTTGAAGAAGGGGAAGGAGTCCTCGACCCGCAACAGATAGAGGAGGATTTATTCAATCACATAGTTTGGGCTCCTAGAATATGGCGCCCTTAGGGCTTTCTATTTGATTGTATCGAAAGGCCCAATGAATTGGGATTTCCCTATTGGGTCAGGTCATTTCGGGGCAAGCGGATCATTTATGATGAAGAGGATGGGCTTCAAGAGAATGATTCGGAGTTCTTGCAGAGTGGAACCATGCAGTACCAGACACGAGATAGATCTTCCAAAGAACAAAGCTTTTTTCGAATATTGTCATGGTAAATTTTGAAAACCTTGTGGGGGATTGTTGGAATTTTAAAAAAAGGTTTTAAAAATTTACCCTTTTGATTGTGTTAATTATTTTGGCTATTTTATTTTATTTATTGTGGGGGTTATAAATATTTAATATTCAGGTTTTATTTCTATATTGAATGCCTTAATTTTTTGGTTGGTGAAAGTTACATGTTCTTGGATGCCTATAAAAGGCTACTCCTCCTTCACATTTGTGACAACCACAATACACCATCAGAATATCACATACCACAATCACCACCACAAACTAATTCTCTCTTTTTCTACTTTTATATATATTCTCTACTTTATATTATTATTTTGGCAATGGTTCTATGACTTGGATACCATCAAAGACGCTGTTCCTAACGTTTGGGCAAGTGTTTGAAAAATAAAAAATAAAAAGACTAATTTATGTGATATTATTACGTATCTTGAAATCCTATCTATTTCATGAAACGCTTACTTTTCAAATTTGGTTTCTTTGTTCTTCATTTGACTTTTGGGATTTTAACCCTGTTGATTTGGAGCTTATTATCTTTACTTGATAACTCTTGTTATTCCTCTTTTTCTTGTACGAATATATAAAAGGTTTTCAGGTGGTTTTCAAACAATTACCTTTTAAACGAAGGGTTTAGTATGTTGATTATAATTAGGGTGTTGTTAAACGAACCCTGAAATTAACTGAGCATACCCTATTATCAAACTATTTATTGAATTACTAATTTACCATAATATAAAGTGACCAAAAAGGATATATTGAATTGTGAAACAAATGTAATTTTAATAAATATACCCTACTCACCATATGCAACCCTAATCAAATGTAAGCGTATTAGAGCTACAAAATCCATCAAAGAAGAGCCTTTGAAAAGGGTAATGCTAGGCATATCATATTTCTATACCACATTGTGTATCACCTCTCTAATAGAGTACACAATGTGTGTAAGTAGCCAACTAATTATACGATAATTAATGTTAAGGACATCTTATGTAATGACTTATTAAGTTATTCATAGGCAAGACCGGTTGTTTTCAACCTTGATATTTGGTATATTATCATAACAGTAAAACAATTATAGTCATAAGAATATATAAGTGTACATGAGAACTATGTAATGAGATTGAATACATCGAGATTTATGATGGTCCATAATTCTAAATATGTTCCTAGTCATTGAAGTATCAATTGGACGTTGATATTCCGTCAAGACCAGTACATACAGTATCTTCTCTATATGTAGAGAATGACAAGGCCTCAATTCATCAAGTGTAGTGACACCAAGATACAGGTGTAGGTGAGAACAATAAGTACACTGAACATGATCAAATATATAAGTTCTAGAATGGAAGTCTTACTCACATGTCAACCTAGAACTCATAGATTGCAATGGTGCCAACTAATCCTTAGACCCAAGACATCATAAATGTTTTGTGGCTATGTTGTTTATCTTTGAGGGCACTATACAGTTACGTTGTAAAAGACATGACCTAAAAATGTATTATCAGGACTCTCAATAAAGTCATGGTGGCAAATGAATGTAATAAGGAATCTATATTCTTAGTAAATAGAAAGAATGCTCCAATGATATGATTAATCAAATCTCTGCGCACAGTAGTGAGATTTGAAAGAATAAGTCTTCAAATCTTACTAGGTATAACCATATAAAGGAATGATTCACATTAGAATATTCGACATTAGATTCCATTATCTAATAATGTGAATAAGGAGTATTGTACAAGAGAAGGATTCAATTCCACGGTCATTCCAATTAAAATAGGTTCTTCCCTACACCCTATTTAGCTCGGATAACCATGACATGCTGCTAGACATCAACCATGGTTTGTGGAAGTCCTGAAAGGTTCAATCATTATTGACTTTCACTAATAGGAAGAATTAAATAGTGAGATTTAATTCACAAGTCAACTCAGAGGAGTTGAGTCAACTTACTACCTTACTAAAAGGAACCTATTGATCGCACACCAAGAAATGAGATTAGAGGTACAAATGAAGATAAAAGAAACTAGGAGTCAAAAGTCAAAGGTCAAAGTCAACGATCAAGTCAAAGTCAACATGTTTGACCAAAGCAATTGACCGAGTCAAATACTTTGACCAAATCAAATTAGTAAGATTATAATAGTGATTTAAGAGTTAAATCATAATTCATAATTAAGAGTCTCTCTCTCTCTCTCTCTCTCTGTACAAAGAACCCATATTCAGATCTAGGTTAGGGGTCATTGCTCTCTCTCCCCGTTTCGCACACAGAAGACAACGTCGCACGCATTCCCAATTTGCCAGAACAAATTTGGAGGAGTCCGCAAGCGACCATGGGGTTGTTGGGTGGTGTAGTGGATATCGTTGGTGGTGGTGGGTGGGGATGGGAGAAACGCAGTGGGTATTTGATTTTAAATTTATGTTAAAACATTGACCAGGGTTTGGTGGGTTTGAAGAAAGAAAGAAAGAGACGCGGAGAGAGAGGCAAAGATAGGGGTCGGGGAAGATGAGATGGGTTTGGGTGGCTTGGGAAATGATCTCCACTGTAATTTTGTTTTGCTTTTGCTCTCCTTCTCCGTGTGGCAGAGAAATTAGAGATAAAATAATGATGGAGGGATGGGATGGGTGGGTGGTGAGGATTGTGGCGGCTGGGGGAGTGATTGGGTGCTAGGTAGGGTTTTTAATTATTAGATTTTTTTTTTATAATTTTTTTTATTTTTAATCATTATTTAATTATATATTTATCTATGTGGAGGTGGGCTCAACTTGCCATGTCACCTACTCAATTGGTGTAATGATTCATGTGTATGAAATTACAAAAATACCCCTGCTACGTCATCAAATTTAGAGTTTTGGATGGAGTTGCTGGCAAGGGCAAAGTGGGTTACCAAACCTCGGTTAAGGGATGAAAGTGGGCCACTTTAACTTTTGGGGGGTAAAGTGAAATTTGACCGAAGTTTCAAGGGGCACTATAGTAAATAAACCTAAATTAAATGTGGTATGCCTAGCATTTTCCCTTAGAAAAAGTGAGTTTGTAGTCATATACAGAGTCATGAACCTGGCCTCTATATTTGAATTTGAACTTTTGTACACAGAATAATATGTGTAGTTCTGCATCATAGGCAGTGAAAGTGCCATGAAACAATATACGACAGTGATGATTGACATTGATCCAATTAATCCTATCGGTATGCCTCTGGATGAATTTTTGGTTTCTTCAGCCATGGTGGCGACATTGTCAAATCATCCTACATAAGTAAAGTAAACAATTGCAGCTACTTGAAAGACTCCTTTAGCCCCAAACGGAAAAAAGGTTTCATATTTCATGGGTTGGCATGGACAAATGCTGCAATTGTCACAAACAGAATTACAACATTATTGACTGCAGATGCTATCCAGTTTAAGTAAGAGTCTTCCTCGTGTTGATCATTGCAATTGTTGCAGCTATTGGGTCAAGTAGATTAAAGATTGTTTAGTTAGACAAGCGATTTTGTGGCTCAAGTGGTTAAGAGCGTTACTTTTTACCTGAGACTTTATGTTTGATTTCCCCCAAATATCCCTTGTAGCAAAAATGTTTCTTTAATGATGAAACGTTAAAGAAGAGCAATTGAAATTGATCCTAGATGATGAAATGTTTGATTAGGGTTTGGTGTTGTGTGATAGAGTGTATTAGGGTGTACCAGGGGTATTTTTAGTAATTAAATGGGGTGAACTTAGTTTTACATTTTGATTTAAATATTAGGGTGTATGTACAATGGTGGACCCATGAAATTTTAAAGGGGTATGCTATTTTTTATTTTTTATTTTTACATGAGATATATTATAAGCCTTTTTTCTCTTGAAACAAAAATGTAAATAAAATTTTATAAATTAAATAAGGCCACATTACGAGCAAATATAATACAAAGAAGTACAAAATATAAATAAATACCAAATCAAACACATTGTTAAACTACTTGAGATCCGAGTTGAGTAAGTTCCTCAGGAATTGAAGTATCAACATTAGATGCAGAAGGTGTATCTTTATTATCGTTCCCAATTTTGTTGAAGAATGAATAAATAGTTTTTCCTCTTTTTGCCGGTCTATTATCATCATGTAACATCATATCCTAACAAGACATACTAAACACCAAAAATCCTATATGTTAATTAATAATTCAAATTGCAAAAATAAACATATATCAACAATCCCCAAAAGTTTTCTCCCAAATCCTTAATCATAAAAACTTAACAACAACAATTAAAATTGGAAATTGAATATATAAAAAAATAAAAATAAAAATAAAAAAAAAAACTTACCAAGATTGAAGAACCCACCGAAGATAGGTTGGTACAACTTTTTAGAGAGTGAGAGCTATTTCTTCTAAGCTCTCAAGGTTCAAATATTGCATTTTGGGCGGCTAGAAGAAATTTTTTTACGTCTACTTCTAATCAAATTTATATAGGTTATAGATTGCATGTTTATTATTTCCTATATGCTTCAAGAGTGGGCTTATTTCTACATAGAGGGATGGGCTTATTTTAAATAGAGGTCAAAGCTATTATTTACTTTACCTAGATTTGGCTTATACCACTAAGCCTACCAAAAAAAAAAACAGCACTTGGCTGGAGCCCACTCCAGCCCCAATGTAGATTCGCCTATGTGTATTTAGATCATATGGTGTACTCAGTTGATTTTAGGGTTCACCCTTATAATTATGTTTGAGAACTTTCTTTTTGTGCATGCATTCGTGTTGCCAAGAGAAAGAGACTAGAAGGTATAGTTGGAAAGGAGAATTTTCCTTCATGCAAGGATCAGAAAAGGATTCAGTATAGCCTCTCCTTTCTAAGTTCATGGGTTTGGGAGAGCTTGAGTTCAGAAAGTGGCTATTATCTGCCACTCCTATGGAGAGGAAGACGGTGCTTCGGGACTTGAAGAAGCGAAAGGAGAAGATACGCATGGTTGAAGCATTATCGTCAAAGTTGTACAAAACTAAAACAGCTGTGCTCATTGTACAATTCTGTATCTCCATAGACCAGATGCTTTCTAATTCATTTTTATATGCTACTACTTCTACAGTGGCTATTACTGGAAAGGTACTAGAACACATTGGCTGTCTGCTTACGATTCCTTGTAATAGCCATTGGCTTTTTGTCTGTACAGATTCTCAAATAAACCGAGTTCTCTACTTGAAAATACCTTTCTGTTCTATTCTTGTTTGCATATTGAAGCATTTTGCTCTGAGATTGCTGTAGGTTTATTTTTAACAACTGAATCATAGCTCTTCTTACTGCAAGTAATCTTCCATCGTAGCCTAAGGTAGACGATAAACCGTATAAATAAGACACTATCATGTCATCTCATACATCATTTGACGCGCAAAATTTGAAAAATGTTTCGCCGACCCAAGTTACATTATTTTTTGTAACATGAGATATTTGAATCTTGTTTCAGGGAATGTTCTTTTTCTTTTGAGAATGAGATTCTAAACCACTCTAATGTATTGAAGACAGCGAGTCTTAAAGACATCAAATTAGGTATGGAAGACAAAAGCATAGGCTAAATAAAACCCACATGGTACTTAGCCATGGCAAATTAGAATGATGGGACAGTAAAGCTGATTAACATACATTATTTAGAAAAACAAACGTACAATCAATTTTGACATTGGACGCTCAAATAAGGTTACCCGATACGACAAGTCAAGCAAAACTTTCGCTATTCTACAAAAAGTAGGGCACAATTATTTTTCTTTTTCCCAGTTTGCTTTGCTCCAAAATGAACTATTTAACTTGGAATTTGCACCACAGTTGGAACCAAGGCAAGCAGTTTAAAGTTGTCGTGCTGGTCACTGTCATCAGATTCCAAAACGACCCTTGTGGTGTCAGCACTCCCTCATCTCATATCTCAACAGTACAGCTAACTATTTTCGCTGCATCTTGAATCTTGAAACTGGCTTTGGAGGTTGAGAACCAGAAGACTGCAACAGCCCAATTCGTCATTACCAGTTGTTAGCCAAAGAAGAGGCCACTAAAACCAACATTTTATCATGTACCGAGTAGACTCAAATCTACCTGTGACGTAGTTGTAGTTTGTTCCCTTGAAGTTGTCCGTAGATTGTGAGTGCGTTCAATAATGGAACCTGTAAAAGCCTGCACACAATCCATGGTCAATATAGTAACTCAAATAATAATTAACCCAATTGCTTTAGTATTATTTTATGGAAACATACTTTCTGACCATCAAATTCTGGTTTTGAACTTTGAAGAGGGACCTCCTGTAAAACCAAAGGGGGTCATCATAAAAAGGATTTGTCGCATGTACTGAGTGTCCATTTATGTGTGTGGAGCCATAGGCAAATAGATAAATCAGTGCTCAATATGCTCATTGCTCATAGTTAGATTTGGAATTCTCCGTACTAGAGAGGCTAAAAAATAAGTGCTCTCTACCTGACTTCTTGATAAGCGCACAGCTTGAGCATTGTGAACTTGAGGAGCCACCAAAGCTTTCCCAGAAGAACTTTTAACATCACTCGCTAATATATTTCCATGCGAACTTCTATCTTGTACTAATCAGAAAGAAATCAAGTAGAATTAAGTAATGATCAAAATTTGATACGACAATAGAGTAATTGGTGAATGTGGCATCCGCACCAATCTGTAAAACATCATATATCTCCTCATAGCAGAATCTAAAAAATATATAAGTTGGATATCATAATATCTATGTGCTCAAAACAATTAGCAGCTTGTCCCATCAAAACATGACAAAACAGGCACGTTCTATGCAATAAACTTCAATAGCATATTGGAGGAGAGGGAAAAAGAGGAAAGAACATGCATATTCTCATAGGTGCAAGGCCTTATCCAAAAAAATAAGAAGATTTTACTAGTGTTATTGCAATCCTGTACAAATACTCCCTCATTAACAGTTAGTGAACTCGTAAGAGCACGTGTGTGTCCTACAGAGAGAGAGAGAGAGAGAGAGAGAGAGAGAGAGACATTAGCTAACCTTTCGCTATAGGTTGCACTGTCAGGCCTAAACACTGCATTTCCAGATTTAACCCAAAAATAAAAAACAACATTTTAATACAATGGAAAGAAACCAATAAATCCTACTTTTCCACAAAAAACCAAAACATGCTACAGGACCAGCAACCTATTTTCATCAAACTATATGGCCAGCATTTCCAAGCAGCCAAATAAGATTTAATTAAAAAAAATTTTAAAACACAAATTCAATAACAACTAAAAGTATATAAGCAATTGAGACATTAATGTACTCTTTTCTCAATAACATCTAATCTAAAGACAAGTTAGGCAACTCATTTACATAACTAGTTAAACTTTCTTACTAATTAATGTTTTATTTTATAACATTTCAATTTCATATTGTTCAATGACAATTGAAATTACTTAAACCGGATGTATCTACTCATATAGCCCATTTAATTATTTATTTGATTTTTAGCGTTAAAATTTGTAAAATAAGGTCAAGTTAAAAAATATATATAGTTTATAGGTAGAAAAATGTTGAAATAATCCAAAAATATATATAAGTCAACCTTTATGGGAAAACTTTTATATAAGTAAGAGCTTGGTCCTGTTAGAATATACTCGGACCCACTGGCCTTCTTGAACAAAAGGGGAAACATCCGTACTTGTCCTCTAAAATTTACAAACATACTGATTATCATGACCTAGACTAACCAAACTGTAAGACCAAGAAAGAGAACATGAAAATGCCATAACTTACACTTAGCTGATCAGTAAAACTTTCTTTGTTGGCAGCAATTCCATCCTCTGTCAGTTCTGGAGGTTTTCTTGACATTGCTTTCTATTTGATCAGTGTTGAAACCAAGTAATTAACCTTTTATTGGCTTAGAACAATAATAATTCGCTACAGATTCATGTACTGTTGTCATTTCTTCAACATATCCAGCCAAATCCTTAAATCCTAAGAGATTACCTCAGAAAATTTGACATTCTGATGAAGAGATTTATGATCTGAATACTGATGCAAATCAGCTTCAACTTGCTCATCTTCATCGCTCTCAACATAACTTTCTGCTGCAAATTCATCTTTAGTTTGCTCTAGGCTCACTGCCTCATTTTCAGCTTCAAGTTCTTCTTTCTCCAGTTCATCCATCCTGGACACTATACGAGCAAATTCTTCATCTTCATCTGCAACCTTTGTAAAGTCCGCTCCAGAAGAACTAGAAGAAGCTTGCTTACGTAGACCTGGAACAAAATTTATCTTAATTATTTATTTGACTCAGGATATAAAGGGAAAAAAACACAAATCAAGGGCACTGAGCAACAAAGGTTCAAATCAATCATTAACTTGCAACCAGAATCACTGATATATGGAGGTGACAAGGTATCGCTCACACTTTCTTAACCAGATAATTCTCTACATAGCTCCTTACATACCAAGAATGTAAGTACAAAATGCTCATATGTATGAAAATGCATGCAAAAACTAAGTAGAAAGAAAATCAACAGCACCAAGAAACCCATAATAAACCTTCTATAAACTCCAAAACATCAACCATATCAAGTAGACATGAATAACAACATCCTAGAATTTTAAAATAACCAGTAGCCCATTTGACGGTGAGACAGGAGCTATCGCACTTAAAGAGAAATCTGAGTACTGATGCTTAACAAAGGATTAAGGTACAAAATCTACAGAATCTCCATTATTCTTCACTATTAAAACAAGTGGTAATACTCCTATAACACTTTCTTAACAATACATCTTCAGAAGGAATTATACTGCTTCGTTCTTAACTGGCTGATAGTCACGAAAGTCAATCTTTGATGTTAAGCCTATAAAAATATACACCAATATCCCAATCATGTGCCTACATACCACAAACTAGAAAGCCCCTTTTTGGATACAAAAGGTAAGCTTTTATTAATTAAAGAAAAATGAAATACAATAAAATAAGGACAAGAAGTCAATCTATGCTCAAACCTGATAGCCCCAATTGATGCCCACAAACTAACAAAAGCTTCTGATGTGCAAGGATCAATTTGCAAATTTCATTTGCTATTTAGATTAAAGGTTCATCTCAAATTATTCAATTCTTGGAATCAATAAATTCAAACAATTAACATGCTGGCTAAGGATTGAAGAAAAGCTAGCTTTTCTCTCTGTACTTTTTTCTTCTCCGAGCTCACCTTATGCATCATGAAACATATACCTGGACAGGCTATTTCTTTTTTAACCAGAAAGGCCTCAGATATAATATTCCGAACAATGTAACTGAATGAATTGCAAAGAGGTAATCTGCTTAAATGGTGCATTCAAAGCAACATAGTTACCATTTCTTATATTTCAGAAAAATAAATAAATATATGATGCAACTGTTGAGGTTTTTTAATATCCAATACTGATGGAAAGTATATAAATCCAATATTGAAAGTTTTACAAATGAAGCAATATTTATTTATTTATTAAATTATCTGTTAACTCTCATACTCAATGATACAACTTAAGGAAGCAAAATGAATAACATGAGGCTATGCAATCATCCCACCGATGTAAAGTATAAGCAGCTTTACACAAAGGGTAAACAGGAATGAATAACACTGAGATTACAAATTTTCCAATAAATCCTTGTTGAGGGGAAAAAAATAAGAAAAAACTTGCCTGGCTCAGATTCTTTTTCAGAAGAAGTTTCCTCCGCATAATCTTCCCTAATCTCTACAAGGCCCTCCTGTTGTACAAAATTTTAAAGCTCTCAATTTCATATGCATTGATGTAATATAAATAGGATGAATTCTTAAGGAAGCAACTTTTTACTGTTTGTGGAAAATTTTCATACCAAGATTGATGACTAGTTTTAGTTACTTCAAGATAAAAATTCTAAAGCAGAGGGTTCTTACACAACAATAAGTACGAGTATTTCAGTATATTAGGATTCTAATAGAAACCCAATTGCAACGTAAACGACCATATACAATAAACTAAACTAAACTTAACCTCATTGTGCATTGTATGAATAAAAAAAAAGTTGAATTTATGCTATTACCACGGCTTCAGAGGCCGTAGCATCAAGAAAGGAAGCCTCGAGTCTAAGATCATGAAGCATGGCATTGAGAGAATCCACTTGGGAGTCCAATGCCATTCCTCTTCTCTTCAAAATCTCCAATGTTTGCCTCGATGTCCTTTCTGCATAGTAACCTTCTCCCAGCAGAACCTGCAGCAAAAATCAAATATCACTGCTCTGTTTGGCAGCTGCTCAGAAGCTCAAAACAAATTACAAAAATAAAAACAAAAAACAAAAAATAAAAAGGGAAAATAGTAGTTTTACCAGAAATTCATTAGTGTGCACCAAACGCCCAGGGAAGAATGCTGCCTTCCCAAACGGAACCTACAAGCTAAGCATTTAATTTAGGGTTTTCTTTCAAAATAAAAATACGAACTGAAAAAATAGTTGAGGGGTTTGGATTTGGAGGTGGAGGGTTTACCATAATATCGTGGTGGAGGTGGTCGGGGAGGCGGCGGACGAGGTTGATGAGGCTGGCGTTGTCGGCGACGAAGCCTCCGAGCTGGTCCAGCATCTGTTGCCTCTCGGCGATCGAGTCCTGTAGGCGCTTCGCTGCTTTCTGTGCGTCTTCTACAGGGAACAAGGAGGAGAGTGACGTCACTGTTCCCTTACCTTTGGCTGCCTCTTCCATTTTTGCAGAGAAGGTGAGAAAATCAGTCAAAACGCACTGGAAATAGACTGAACAAGAATATAAGTATAAAAAAGAGATTTTCTATTTAAACCGCACTTCTCTTTATTCACCCCAATACTTAAATCATTAAACTGTAAGTTTTATTATTGGGTAAAAAGATAAAAAAGGTCATCCAACTTAATAATTAACCATAGTACATCTATATACACACTCCACCACTCTTTATATTAAGTTTTAGAAAAATACAAACTCCTCTACATTGTATTTAAATTGGATCAGGACAGAGGTAAAGTATAAATTTGATCAGATCAGGACAAACTCCTCTACTTGGAGAGAGGTAAAGTTGTTCTCTTTCTCTAGAAAGTATTAAATTTCGGGTTTAGGGTTCTATTTGTTTGTGTTTTTTTTGCTAGGAACAAATAAAATTGTGGGGTTTAAATAGAAAATCTCTTTTATTTCTTATTTTTTCAGTTTGGGGTGTATTTAAGGGTAGTTTGGGAAGATAGTGAGGTTTTCTTAGAAATTGTGAAATTTTAAATTAAAAGATGGGGTGAACTTAGAACATGGGGTAAACTAAGAGAAGTGTGGGGTTTAAATAGAAAATCTCATAAAAAATTCTAGTAAATTTAAGCAAAATATAATGAGTTGGCTTATATTTATGGATTTCTATAATCAAGATCTTTTACTTATGGATTTTAAAGATTTTTATCATAGCATTTATAAGATTTGAAGGGACCACATAGATTTCTTACAGGGTTGACATAAGATTTTTTAAGAAAAAATAGACCCGTAAATATTGTTGACTGGGTGGATGGTCTCCTCGATTAGCCAAGGCTCTAACTCGGGTCAGGACTAGCAAATAGGTTAAACAAACCCTAAGCAGATGAACCCCCGGCGAACTATTTGGATAAGGAGGTCCTTCTAATCCTTTAAAACAGCCCGCATACTCTAAACAACAAGAGAGACTGTCAAAAGGGGGGTATTGGTGTGGTACCACCCAAATCCCCCCTGATGCCTAAGTTAGAGGCTGAACTGATGATGTTCTTAGGGGAGTGAATGGTTGTAGTACTTTGCTTACAGCTCCTCCAACTGACTGCTCCGCCATTCAGTGTGAAGACATATCTAGATGTGGATTTTCTGTCATCAACGTCATACTGGAAATCTGAATCAGTGTAGGCTTCCATCTACAACTCTGATGTTCCTCCATAAACTAGGAACATGTCCCTTATTCTTCTTAAGTATTTTAGGACACACTTGACAGCTGCCCAGTGTTCTGAACCTGGGTTTGATTGATATCGACTCGTTATGCTTACTGCATAACTAATATCAGGCCTCGATCACAACATTGCATACATGAGACTCCCAATGGATGATGCATAAGGGATTCTACTCATGCGATGTATCTCTTCGGGAGTTTTAGGGCACATGGCCTTAGAAAGGTGAATTCCATGACTTACAGGAAGAAAACCTTTCTTGGAATCTTCCATATTGAATCTTCCTAGCACCTTATCTATATACAAGGATTGAGACAATCCAATAAGTTTTCTAGATCTATCACGATAAATCTTGATTCCAAGTATATAGGATGCTTCTCCCAAATCTTTCATAAAGAAGGTTTTGGACAGCCACATTTTCACATAGGAGAGCATTCCAATGTCATTTCCAAATAGCAGTATGTCATCCACATACAAGACTAGGAATACGACTGCACTCCCACTAACCTTTTTGTAAACACATGGTTCATCACCGTTCTGTGAGAAATCAAACGATTTGATTGCTTCATCAAAACGAAGGTTCCAACTCCTAGAAGCTTGCTTTAGTCCATAAATGGACCTTTGTAGCTTGCATACTTTATGAGATTCAATTTTGGACACAAACCCTTCAGGTTGATCCATATAAAGTTCTTCCTTAAGGTGACCATTCAAAAAGGCCGTTTTGACGTCCATTTGCCAAATCTCAGAATCATAATGTGCTGCTATTGCAAGCAAAATCCGAATGGACTTTATCATGGCTACAAGCGAGAAGGTTTCTTCATAGTCTATCCCTTCTCTTTGCTTGTAGCCCTTAGCTACTAATCTAGCTTTGTAGGTTTCCACTTTACCGTCCGAGCCAATCTTCCTCTTGAAGATCCATTTATTTCCAATAGGTACAATGCCTTGTGGCGGATCGACTAGAGTCCAGACTTGGTTGGCATACATAGAATCCATCTCGGATTTCATGGCTTCCTACCATTTCTTTGAGTCAATGTCAGACATAGCCTCAGTATAGTTAGAGGGATCATCCTTTTCTTCGTTGTCACCAAGGAGATGTAACTCACCAATGATGTCATGAAGCAACCCATACCTTTGGGGTGGTTGGCTCACCCTACTAGATCTACGTGGAGCTTGTGTTACTTGAGGTTCAGGAATTGAATTGTCAGATTTTTGAGTGGTGATTTGTGGCTCACTAGACATTTCTTTAACTTCTATCTTTGTTCCGCTTGACCCATCTAGAGCAAATTCTCTATCAAGAAATTTGGCGGACCTTGCGACAAACACCTTTTGTTCGTCGGTTGATAGAAGTAGTATCCAAGGGTTTCCTTAGGATACCCCACAAATTTACACTTAACAGACCTAGCTTCAAGCTTATCTGCATCAGGTCTTTTGACATATGCAGGACAACTCCAAATCTTAACATGATTAAGACTTGGCTTTTTGCCAAACCACAATTCATATGGGGTCTTTGAGATAGACTTAGAAGGCACTCGATTCAGCAAGTAAATTGCAGTGAGGAGTGCATATCCCCAAAAGGATATAGGTAAATCAGTGTAACTCATCATGGAACGAACCATGTCCATCAAGGTTCGATTTCTCCGTTCAGAAACTCCATTGAGTTGTGGAGTCCCCGGTGGAGTCCATTGTGAAATGATGCCATGTTCCTTGAGATAATCAAGAAACTTTGTTCTCAAGTATTCACCTCCTCGATCTGATCTTAGAATCTTTATACTCTTTCCTGTTTGCTTCTCAACCTCATTCTTGAATTCCTTAAACTTTTCAAAGGATTCGGACTTATGCTTTATGAGATAAACAGAGCCCAACCGAGAGTGATCGTCGGTGAATGTTATAAAATATGAGAAGCCTCCTCTTGATGACGTGGACATACGCCCACAGACATCAGAGTGGATCAACCCCAACAATTCAGTGACTCTTTCCCCTTTGCCAGAGAAAGGAGACCTAGACATCTTACCCTTTAGACAACACTCACAAGTTGGCATTGGTTCTGAACCCAACGGTCCAAGATATCCATCTTTGGCCATCTTGTGAATTTTGTCTTGGTTGATATGCCCAAGTTTTAAATGCCACATTTTTGTAGGATTGATATCATCCGTTGGCCTTTTAGGCCTCGATGCATCATTACCTTCTAAACAGTTAACACTACCATTCAATTGTAAATGAAAGAGGCCATCTATGATATGAGCATAACAAATTACACATCCATTCAAATATAAAGAACAACTTAGTTTGTCAAACATAACTGAGTACCCATCTCTTAAAAGCATAGAGATGGAGATTAAGTTCTTAATACAAGCCGGAAAATAAAGACAATCTTTTAATTCCAAAACCTCTCTTGATGGTAGTTTGAGAAGGTAGGTGCCAACAGCTTTAGCAGATATTCTTGTGCCGTTTCCAATATGTAGCACCATCTCTCCCTTCTTCAATCTTCTACTTCCCACTAGCCCCTGGCCCCTGCAAGGAATTGCAAACATGTTGGCTAGCGCCTGAATCAAATATCCAAGTAGAAGAACTAACTGTTAGAACTGATTCAAGAACAAGAATAGTACCTCCTGAAGGTTTGTTGTTGTTCAGGCTTTCAAGATATTTGTTGCAGTTCCTCTTCCAGTGCCCATTTTCATTGCAGTAAAAGCATATTCCTTTGGGCTCCTTTGCCTTCTTTTTGGTGATTTTACCCTTGGGCTTAACTACAGTAGTCTTCTTCTCCTTTCCCTTGCCCTTGCCTTTGGTTTTAGGCTTAGGTTTAGTAGAGGAAGAAGAGCCTTTCTCGAAGGTAGCCACAATCCCACTCCCACTTTCCTTTTTGAAAGTCTTTTCAGCTGTGACCAGCATGTGCAGCAACTCAGCAAGAGTTTGGTCCATTTTTCCCATGTTGCAGTTCATAACAAACTGGGAGAACTAGTCTGAGAGGGATGCAAGGATAAAGTCTTGGGCCAATTCCCCATCCAGTGGAGTTCCTAAGTTCTCCAACTACTCGATGAGTCCAATCATCTTCAGTACATGCTGATGGACCAGTGCTCCCTTGACCATCTTGGTCTTCACAAGCTCACAGACAACATTGAATCATCTGTTACATGTACCCTCACCATACAGCTCTTGTAGGTGAGCGATCATATCAATTGCACAATCCATGTGCTCATGTTGCTCCTGAAGCTCAGAGTTCATGGAAGCAAGGATGTAACATTTAGCTTGTGTGTCGTCTTGTATGTGCTTAACATATTGAACATGTTCCTCCTCAGTGACATTATCACCAGGAGGTTGACGAGGGAACGACTTATCAAGCACGTATGCAATTTTCTCACTGATAAAAACGATCTTGAGATTTCGGAACCATTCCAGGAAATTGTGCCCCTCAAGGGAATGTTTGTCAAGAATTTTGGCGAGCGCGGTTCCAGACATATCTACGTAATATACAAAAATTTAAATTAGATTGCTTTTAGAAAGCCAATGATTCCCGTCTTTTAAATCAAATGGCACCTCCCACTATTTTTGGCAAATTCCATATCCCTCCAATGGAATCCGAGAGTTTAGTTTCAACTCTTAGTGGGGATGGGAGGCTCACCACCATCAAGCTTGCCAAATCATAATAAGCATTGGTTTGCTTGAATGGTGAAGAGAGAGTACTCTTACCCATTCACATCATGATGTGATTACCCATCACTTTGGCCTCTAGAAAATGTGCACCCCCGAATGTTATCGTGAGATACCATTGTACTAGTTAAGTCATGCCCACCATTCCTATGAGTGTAGGGGTTCAAGCAACACCTCATCATAATAGAATATTGGCATTACTCGTTGCCTACATTCACAACATCAAATGTTTTGAAATGAGCCCTTTCAAAATAAACACATACTTTGTGTTCCCCATATTAGGGTGAAGCATGGTGTATTGGTTATAATTGATGAGGGTCCACAATGGTGGAAGGCCACGAAAATATATTCAAAATACCTCTCCGTTTATCAACTTAATATTATTATTGGTTGAGGGAGTTTTAGGTCTCATCATACAACATTCATTTCAATCTCATTAAAATAAAATTTGGTCCTATCATAACTATTGGTCCAATTTGTTAGTAGCATATGGTACTCCCACTATTTGTTTTAGAAATCAAGGAGTATCTATCACTACTAATGAAAATTTTGCATTCTTGAATTTTGGACATATAGTTATCTTAGGCCCTTAGGATGATTATGGACTTTTAATATTTGATCCAACATGAGCCAAATGTTGGATCTTGGTCTAGGGAGGGTGATTCATTTTAGTTACGCGTTTAACTAATTAAACATGCAATCCTAATCGGGCTTGAGGCCCATCTAACTTGAGCCTTGGACTTCATCTCCTTCTTTCTTCTTCTCCTTTAGCTTACATCATATGAAAAGCAAAGGCATGCAAGCCTTTTAACAATTACATAAGAAAAGAAAAAAGGAGAGACATGCAAGCCTCTTTAACAATTACATAAGAAAAGAAAAAGAGAGACATGCAAGCCTCTTTAACAAAAGAATTAAACCTTATTAATTACAAGCCCAATAAACGAATAAATCACATCCCATGGTTCAATCAAATTGATAGTTGGCCAATCACATAGTTCGATTTCAATTTGGGTCTTAGTCCATAATCATCCTTTCAACTACTTCAATCAAATTAAAATAATTGAACTTTAGAATGCAACTTAAACATTTTGGGTTTTTGGTATATGGGCCTAGTTCAAAACGTGGGGTTAAGTATGCAATTAATTAAAGACTCAAGGACCAAACCGCAAAGTAAAGTAATTGCATAGAAGTCCAAAACAAATAATATAATTGCATGAGGAATCCAAGAGGATTCCAAGGTGGGGCCGGCCATGTGAAGTGTGTGTGTGTGTATGTGACATGCATGAGTGTTGGTTTGTCCCATAAAAGGATCAAACATGCCTTATCAAGTTTCAAGGAAACATTTCTAAGACCAAGAGTGTGGTCTCCCATGCAAACAAGTTCCTAGGCAAGGGAATAATCCTAAGACCAAGAGAGTGGTCTCCCATGCAAACAAGTTCCTAGGCAAGGGAATAATCCTTCAACCAAGGAAACAATCCCAAAGACCAATGACACACTAGACATGCCTATGTCTTGATGTTCTAATTTTCTAAAAACTAGAGGAGCAAGCTTTGACTAAGGGAACAAGGGGACATGGAATCTTGGATAACCAAGGTCAATGTCCTCATTCAAATCAAGAGCAACACAATTTCGAAATTGAATCCCACCAAAATGGATCAAAAACTAGAACACATGCATTCATCTTATGAACTCACAAGAACATTCATATGAACTCAAGAACATTCATATGAACTCAAGAACACACATAACACAAAAATCATATTAAAATTTCGTGGGATGAAAGTGGCTATCAACATAGAAATTTTACAATGCTCCAGCTAGCATTGAAACATCACAAAAATCCCAAAAATCCAATATGGCCGAAACCCCCTTTTAACCCATGTGTTCAAACTTTAATGCCTTCTCTTAAAACATCTATAACACTTAAAGATGCAAGACTTTTCAAAATGAAACAATCAAGGCATCACAACACATAACATTTATGCCACAAAGAACTTTTACCCATATTCATAAACAAAAACCCAAAATGGTACAACTTATCACTTGACCTTGGAGGAGCTGTAAGCAAAGTACTACAGCCGATTCCACTACTGAAGCAGAATATATAGCAGCGTCTGAAGCCGCCAAAGAAACTGTTTGGATGAGAAAGTTCATCTCCGATCTCGGAGTGGTTCCAACCATAGCATTACCAGTAGCCATGTTTTGGGCTCGATCCGAAATCAATAGGTGAAATAAATTGGACAATTGAAGTTCAAAGGCAGTTCGCTCCTTATTGGAGTGGTTGGTGTTTTGGGTAGTTCTAGAGATCGGATTTCACTCAAACTTAACCAAATGACTCCTCCCACCATATTATGATTTTGCCCAAGTTTTGGGCTCGATCCGAAATCAATAAGTGTAAGAAATTGGACAATTCAAGTTCCAAGGCAGTTCGTGTTGGAAATATGCCCTAAAAGCCAATCATATGATGTAATCTTTTAAGGATATTTCATGTATTAGACTTATGTTTAATCCTCTTAAAGGGCAAGTTTATTGTTTATTAGTAAATGTCTCATTAACAGTTACACATGCTTAAACAATAAGTCCAAGGGATGTGAGATAGAGAGAAAGTAATCTAAAGAAGTTAGATTCAGGAGACCTTTCCTCTATTATCTTCATGCCCTAAATGTTCCTAGTCATAGGATTGTCAAATGGGCACTGACAATCCGGAAAGACCGGTACATGCTATGTCTTCTCAATTGGGAGGATGACTGGTCTCAAGTCATTCGTGTGGAGACACTAAGACAAGTATGTAGGTGCTCAATGGAGAATGAGTTCACTGAACGCGATCAAACGAGAGTTTCTTGTATGAAAATTTTACTTATATGTCAAAGAAGAAACTCCAAGTTGCAATAATGCAAATTAGTCCTTAGACCTGAGGCACCATGGTTGTCTTGTGGGAAGGTTGTGGATCTTTGATGATGCTATAAAGACATGTCCTAATCACGGATGTGTTACAAGCATTGTTGGGATTCACGATTAACTCAAGGGGACATGTGAGTGTACAACATGGAATCTCTATCCTTCAGTAAAGAAGGAGAATGCTCGGAAGATATGATTAAGCAAATCTCTTATCAGAGTATTCGGTATGACCTAGAAGGATGTTTTTGTCATACTAATACAAATCATATAAGACGTGACAATCTCATTAGGGGTTTTGACATGCACCATGCCCTAGTAATGAGATTAAAAGCATTGTAATAGGGAAGGACCATATTGCATTGTAATTCCAACTAAATAGGTTCTCTGCTTATTCTACTTAGCTTGGATATCCATGAGATACTGCTAGGTGTCACTCATGGATGGTGGAAGCCCTAAGGACTAATGATCCTAACTAATAGGGAGAATTAAAAAGGGGTTTTAATTCACAATCAATTACGAAGAGTTCAAATTGCCCACGACCTTGCTAATTAGAACCTAATGGATCGCGCACCATTAAACTTGAGTTATTTGAGAAACCGTTATGGAGATGATGAATTGCAGAGATCAATTAAGCTTTGTTAATTGGTTAAGGCAAAATTAATTATGGAATTAATTTAAACGACACGTGATGTCGGAATAGGCTTCAAACGGGAATTTTGAATTCCGGGCTCATTGGGCTTTATCCTTTTGGACATGGAGATTGGGTTGTATGACAACATAAATTAAATTGAGCGCAAGAGGCCCAATTTCAAGGGATAGACGTTCATATGGGCTTTTGGTTGCTAGAGTCAACTTGTTGACTCAAGAAAAAGATGACTATCATCTTTTTGAAGCCTAAGGGTTCATTAGTGAAAAACAAGAGAGAGAAAGAAAGCTCTAGTCTTCCAAAAACTCTCTCTACACTTTCATATCATCTTAGTGAGGGATCACTAGCATCATCCTCTCACTAAGCTCATCATCTTCTTCTCAAGCTCTAGTTGGTGAAGAGACTTAGAGGTTACCTATTTTGGTGACTTTTGGAGAACCTCCTAAGTTGAAGTTTTGAAGGAGTCATTCAAGCTTCAACAACAAGGTGGAGATTTTGAAGGAGCCATTCAAGCTTCAACAACTTTGGTGGAATTCGATCATAGGGTTGAAAGCACGCACCAAAGGGTAACTCCTCCTTCCAATCTGACTAGAAGTATGTTCTAGGAAAGTAGTACAACTATCACTTGGCTTAAAAGATTCATGGGAAAAGTTTTTGTTTTTGAACTCATAAATGCATGCTTAAGCTTCCGTTGCCATGATTTTATTTATCTATGTTGATGTTCAAA